TATCGCTTTCTTAATGCTGAAAAGCGGATCTGATATATCAAACGTGCTGGAATGAGAGTTAAAATCCTGGCATAAGCAACGGAGTGGGTCGTGCAATTCAAAATTGGTTTTACAAGCTTTCAGAAATATGGGACAAAAGTGTCTTGATACGCGTGAGGGAACATTAAAGCTTACATCAGCCAGAAGAGACGGACTTGAAATTGAGCCTGTCAGTAATTTAACCATAAAAATTATACCAAGCATTTCCCTGCGACTGGCAAGTGTAGGAAGGTTAATAAGTTTTAAGCGACTCGTATAAGGTGGAAGACTATATTGAGAATCCCATCGGAAATTTCTTAAAGCAAAAAGTAGGAATTGTTTTTGAATTGATTCTATCTTGTCTGAGTAAATTTGATACCTTGGATTCCAAACCACCGAGCCGTATTCCAGAATCGGCCTAACTAATGTTGTAAACAGGGTTTTAGTGATATAAGGGTCACTAAATTCTTTTGACCATCGTTTCACAAATGCAAGTACAACTTTAGCCTTGTTGACTGTCACATTAATGTGAAGATTAAAATTAAGCTTAGGATCCATTGTGATACCAAGGTCCACAAAATTGTATACCTGTTCCAGGTTATGGTTACCTATTATATAAGAAACTGGCAGAACAGCTCTTCGCGAGAAGCACATTACTTTACATTTCTTAAGATTTAGAGGCACAAGAATTACTTTACACCGGTAAGCCATGCTGTTTGAGTCTGATTGTAGCAAAGACCTTTCTTTAATTGAAACGTACGATTTATAAAGTTTTACATCGTATATTTCATTGTACAAGTGTTGAAGTGGTATACAAATGTAGTTTGTCTGTTACAGGGAAGACTGGTCGCCCTGGTTTGCATTCTGATTTGCTACTTCATTATCCTAAATTCCCTTGTGACCGGGCAACCCATAGATATGTAGCATTTTATCAGCGTCTAGCTTGTCAATGGCTTCCCGGCTGCGAGGAACGTTTATGGATGAAAAATTATATCAGGAAACTGCCTTGATTGCCGCCTGGAATAGGTTTAAGTTTGAATTGATTGTCGTTTCGGTGAGGGCTAGCTCTGTAGTTATCCTCATTGCGAAAGCCTCTGCTTGAAATATGCTGCAATGGTCAGGTAGCAGTAAATCCCGGCACCCACTCCCGTAACCATTTTAGAGCCGTCCGTGAAAATGTTTAGGGATCTATGGCTAGGTTTCATTTCCATCCCTCTTCCTCAATCGTTGTGCAAAAAGTTTCCCCTTAAAGCTAGGTGCCATGAAGCCTGTGCTGCTTGTGCTTCCCGCCACATATAAGTGGTAGCCGAAGGTTCTGAAATTTAATTTCCCTATGACCGTCAATCTATGTGCGGATTTCGCAGCAGGG